ATGCCGAGCAGGCAACAGTGTCCATGAGGGATAATCCAAAGCCTAAGTACAGTCCAAACCAGTTTCACAGACCAGGAGCTCAGATAGCCAAAGACGTTTCCAAGGATAATCCAAAGCAAGGTTAATAACACAATCCAAGTTTGGTAACCAGGAGAATCCAGGATGGCAGGCCAAAAATCAAAGTGAACAGAACAGACTGGGAAAAGGCAAAAAAATTTAAAATAGAAAGGCAGAAAACGGGTCACATTCAAAAAAGTCCAAAACACTCACCAGCTATAATGATCTGGCACTGATGGCAGGGAAGCAAACAACATAAATAGCCGTGGGAACCAGGTGAAACAGATTGGAGATAATCAACCGCAGGGCCAATTAGACAGGTGAGCAGGGGCAGATGAATAAATCCGACCGTCAGTGCCAGGAAAAAGAGTCTTAAAAGCTGACATGATGTCTGCCTTTAACAGTACTAACAACTAAAGCACCATACAGCCGCTTAATCTGTGTCCCAATATGTTCAAATCACTGACTATAAGATCTGTTTTAGTGCATGTATTTTTTTTTTTATTTAACTTGTACTGTATTATCTTGTCTCCAATGCTGTCATGTTTTGTCTTCTATGGTTTCAGCTACTGGGGACCTGGAGAGCCAAACGGTTATGAAAACAACACTGAAAGCTGTGTAGAGATAAGGGATTTTAACTGGAATGATGAACCCTGTGGCAATCAAAAGTTTTGGATCTGTGAGAAAGATGGAGTCTTTTAAATACCAAAATACATCCTTTGAAATTGATCATATAAATGTAAAAATAACAATAATATCAGCATTATATAATTTGATCTTTGCATAGTTTTTTAAAAGTTGAAAGCAAATACTGTAAATGCCCTCATTCTCTGTAATTTTTTGGAAATATATCAATAAATGAAAATACAATAACTTTTGGATAAGAACACATCTTTTACTTTAGTATCAAATTAATCTTACTCTTTCTATGAAATGTGGTTAAAGTCAGTTTACCAACAGCTTGTGAAATGGGTGCAATGTTCATCTAGGAGGAACTCCTCAAAAACAGAATTGGTGTTTCGCAGTCAGAACAGCAGGTGGTGCAACAGAATCTCTGTAATGGTGCAAATTAACACCTCCTAAATGATACTTTTTTCTTTGCATATGTTTTTGAACATCCATACAGATGGTACACTACTAGTAGGGAAACATCTAATACTACATTTATCAGAGTTGTTGCTTATCTCCTGCTAACCAGTGTTGTTTTTGACAACCATCTTGGATTTAGTCTTAGTCTTCAGGACCAAAACTATTATTAGTCTTAGTCGCATTTTAGTCATTACAATATGTGATAGTTTTAGTCTGTTTTAGTCGACAAAAACTTAAAACGGTTTTAGTCTAGTTTTAGTCAATTTTATGTTGCAAAAAAGCAAAACTTTACAATTTCGAATAAAAACCAGATTATTAACCAGCCTGACAGCTCTTGCATAGATATTACAGATGCTGGGTATAGAATGCTGCTGTTCATCATTGCTGTTTGGCAGAAAACTTTGATTTATAGAATTCAAATAAACTTTTGTTATGAATTAATGTTCTACTTTATAAAAAAAAGTCTCACAAAAGTTGTGAAAATAGCAGATCTACTTCAACACATCATATTGGTTAATATAGCAGACAGACAACCTAACAAAATATAGAATACATGGTTTTAGACATATAAGGTTTCCATCGTAAAGCAAACACTTCCTGATCTACTATTAATTATTTAGAAAAAAAGTCATTCAACTGTGGCCCTCAACGTGCCCTGTGGAGGTACTTCATAAAGTACGAAATCAGGGGCCCTTTTACTAGGGGCCATCCATTTGCTTCACAAGAGCAGGACTGCTTTACCAGCATTTAGTTAGATCTGTTCCCAGTACATGTTAAACTTGTACAGGGCTGCTCTCTCAGCTTGTCCTGTTCATAATCTTCACCCTCTTGCCTACTGATGGTGTTCAGAGGGCCTGGTAGCACCAGCGTGTGATAAGGTTATTATTGGGTTGTAATTACGATCTAATCTGATTTATCTCATCTGATTTATTACTCAAAAGGCCAATCAATACAATATTTGGAGATACAAATAAAAACAACATAATAAATAAACATCAAACAGGTGGTTCTCTCTTCCTTCATCATTATCAGATCATGCAGATCTTTTCTCATTCAGTTTTCTTTTTACTGCCTGTTATTTTTTATAATGAGGAACTTTCATACATCCAAACTGAGTGGTAGAAAAATAGACCTAAGACTGGAAGTCTATGCTCAAAAATCCCAACCATAAAACAGCAAAACAACTTATAACTCTACTTAAAATAGCTAACTATCTGAAGGTATACACTAAAGGTCACCAATCAACTCTAAAAATATCTTTAGGGCAAACCGTTGTCAATTCCTGGACCAGATTAGTGCCTTACAATGATTTTTTCGATCATTCTGTTTAATTTTATATGAGTGTAATTTTATTTAGTCATGCCAGCTGCAGCCAATGGTTTTGTCTTACTTTTGTTGATTATCTGGGTTTATGGTACATTTCCAGTCCTCATCTTTAGTAAAACCAAACACATCAAGGTAATTTTTTATTAGCTTAGGCATGACGTAAACATTTATCACAGGGATCAGCCCAATCCAAACCGAATAACCCAATTAAAACCCTCACATTAACACAGGACAGCTCTCCATCAGCAGCAACCAGTTGTGATAATGAAATTTCACTTTGTCCACATCTGATTTAGGGGAGTGGCAGCGAAGTGGTTAGGGAATTGTGCTTGGAATCCACAGGTTCCAAGTTGAAGCACCAATCCCACAGACTGCCACCCTGGGTCCATGAGCAAAAAGACCCTTAACCCCACACTGCTCCCCAGGCGCCACACCATGGCAGCCCACTACTTCCCACAGGGATGAGTCAAATGCAAAGAGTGAATTTCGTTGCTCTGTACTTGTGACAGTGTAATGACAATAAAACAAGCTTGAAAAGTGGTGCACTCTGCTCCTAATCTATACGTTAGGAGTTTCACGTTTGCCTAGCGGGAGTTGCTAAAATGTTTATCATTCAAAATATGATATAAATATAAGTGCTTAAAAATGAAAAACTGTTTGATGTCTTTCATTTTCTTTCCCTATTATTTTTGCTATTCGTGGGGTATAATCACGTAATAGAACTATTAAAAAATGACCGATAAAATTCATTTCACCCTGATAAAATAAGGTTGTATACACCAACACTAAGAACATCATCACTTTCCCTACAAACAGCATTAATAAGACATTTTTTCACATATTCATCAACTCTGCAGTGACATTGTTGGGATCCAGGGTTTTTTTGGTGGTAAAACCAGATGGTGTTAGAGGCTGCACGCCTGGAGATGTGTGTTCGCTGACTCAGTCAGCTCACCTTTGACTCGTCAACTAATCATCCTGGAATTTAAGAGGAGCAGACTTCCAGTACCTCATCGCCTAGGCATTTGCCAGTAATGGTACTCTGAGCCCTCTGAGTTTACTCTCTGTTTGCCATCAGAAGACCTTCCAATAATCGATTATTGTTGCCCCTCTCTCTCAGGTGATTTCTTGTGATGCCTTGTAAGTTTCCCTATGAAGATACAAGACCTGGCTTTTGGATTGTTCCTTCTTGTAGCCGTTGATAGTTACCCTCTGGTGCCTGAGTCCTTTCTTCATCTCTGCAGATTATTCATTAACCTTTCCTGGATATCTGCTGGGAGTCGACTTGCTCCTCTTTTCTCCTCCACGCCTGAACTTACCCTCCACCCAGCCTCCACATCTCACTCAGTCAAGATCTCCCTCAGGAACCTGAATTACCTTGAAGACTCCCACAAGGTACCGAAACCACAAATCAACAATTTCCCCTCTTCTGACTGGAAGTAACTTGCAAACCAAGAAAGACCAGTCTGATTTATCTTAAAGTTCCAGTTGTCCAATTACCTCAAGTTCACCATCATCCTTACTGCTCTTCAGGGTGCAGATGACTATCCACTGGACCTTGGCATTTTCTTTTTGCACAACTTGGCCAAGAGGTGTGAAGTGGCTTAGCCACATAGATTTTTTGGTTCATGCCCAGCGCACAAGTAAAGTATCATACCTCTGGACTTTTAATGTTGTTCATGTAATGATACATGAAGGGCTTTTTTTTACTGACAAACTGAAAAAAGCAGAGTGCACAAAAAGCAAATACAACAGCAGAATGCTAAACTTTGTATTTAACCAGTGTGAGCAAATGGCCATCCCTCTTTAAAAAATGCTTCTATTCTCTATATCATAAGTCATGTTCAATTTATCCTTCTCTGTTTTTTTTTGTTTTTTGTTGGCTTTATTTTGACAATAAAGGCCTGAATAATTTAGGACCAACACAATGACTTTAAACACCAAATTTAGCGCTAAAGAGACAAAACTCCTTAAGTGATTATATTCCTCCAGCGGATATTGCTTGTGGCAAATAGTAATGATAATAATAAATAAAATGTATTGATCTCACATTGGAGAAATTTACCTCTGCATTTAACACATTCCCTTGGGGAGCAGTGGGCTGTCAGGATTCCAAGGTCTATGCCCTAACCACTAGGTCGCCCCTCCCCACAGATGTGTGGGCATAAACAATTGAAGAAAATCCATATGGAAAAAGAAAGATCATCATGACATATGCATTTCCTCCGCCTTACAAACCAGAGCATTGAAGTACTATTTTTTCTGACTTTATACTTTTTATGGAATAAATGAGGTAAAATTTCACAAAGAGGAAGTAAAAATGTGTGTTGCTACATTGAAAACTAAAAGGAGAAGAAGAGTTAAAAGGAGAAGAAGGGTTGCAAGTCATTGTTATGCAAAAACCATTTCTTGCCCATCACCACTGTGGTGGTCTGAAGGTAACATGGCAAGACTTGTTAATAGAGAGCTAGCTGAGGTCAACATGGATTATGTGAATCTACAGGAGTCTTCGGTAAGAATGCATACTAATGGAAGGAACCTTGCTTTACCAGGTAAGACTAAAACTATTACCAGCATGTGATTTTTAGACCTGTCTAATTTCTTTTTAATGGTTATTTTGTATAATTCAATAACTTTTGTAATGATGCTAAGCTATAAGCAAAATAGGACATTTTATTTTGTGAATCTTTTTATTATACTTATCAGATAAT